CGTTTACTGCTTTGTCGACCTGGAGAAACGTATGACCGGATCCAGCGCAACAAGCCGTAGGCGTGCCTACAAACTAATGGGATCGATGGCCAGTTACTACGAACAACCCAACCTCTTTATACTGATCGCAGGTGCTACCTGAGAGCAAACGGCATTGGGTCGATACCTTACAACTCTGGCACTGTTCTGCGCAAGGGTGCGTGATATCCGCTCTCTTTTTTCTATTGGACATAGATAGAATAATCAGATACATCAAGGGTGGTGAGTGTATCAGCGTAGAAAATATCGAGACGAGAAGGATGCCGTTTGTAGAGGAACTTGTTTTGTTGGCATGTTCTGAAATTGATGCACAGTGCTCCCTGGAAAAGTTCGCAGCCGAATGCGACGTGATCCGCATGTTCGTTAACATCGGACTTGGTTCTCTTGCCCACTGCTTTCTTCAGACAAACGAAGCAACAATGGAGCAGGTGGAGAAGTTCACATACATGAGGTTCATGTTTGTTTGTAATAGAAAATATGAGGTAGTGATTAACCGGCGAAGTGGACTAGCCAGCGGCGTTCTGCGTGAACTAACTTGAACCGCTTTGACTAAAGCAGACCTTAGTTTACCGAGCTAATACCCAGCTACCTGAGTTCAAGTCGATCCTCGTCTCGATGTTCACCCATTGTCATGAGTCGTGGATTATGGCTGAAAAACTTCCATCCCGGGTACAGGCGGCTGGAATGGGCTTTCTCATACGAATCTCCGGGCTCACGCGTCTGAGCATAATTCGCAGTTCAACTATCCGACAAATCCTTGGTGTAAAAATGGTGCTTGTCCAGATTGCGAAATCACAACTGTGACGGTTTGGAAGGAAGGTGAACCCGCTATTACTGGCCAATATGGTAAATGATTGGTGGGCCCTGTTCCAGACTTGGTTTAGCTTACAGACGCTGGCACGGAACATGCACTACAGGTTTTGTCCAGTCCGTGCAAAGTCAGGAAGCCCGTTACCGAAAAACTACTTTAACCAGCAGCATAGGCCGAAAGCATGCCATTATGTCCGACCGTCACAGCTGTTCGGAAAGATCACAGAACAAACTGCAAAACCTAACCCTGAAGCAGGCCCATGATTGACGAGCAGAAAAGTCGGTAGTGGTTGATTACTCGATTGACCAATCTGCTTGCTTTGTGGACGAATAAGCCGTCTTTTTGTACATTTTCAGTGTCGTCTCCAATGCAATACTGAAGTAATTCTTGGTATTCATCCGAGACCAGTGCGTTTTGATTTATTTCATAAAATTATTAATATACTGGTTAAAATCTGGTGTTAACCTGCCTATGACTGTATATCAAGGTATTTTATGTGTAAGGTGGCATGCCTCCTGCGTATCAGTTGTTTGATGACAATACAGGTGCATAGCGAAACTCGTTGGCAATAAAATTATTTACATCTGCATTTCCTGGCGCTCTCAATCATGAACGATAAACAATGCGCAATTTCAGAACTGGGCCCAGAATCTGAAATGCTGTATCATAGTGAAATCTAATGTCATATTCATATGAATTTTCACCAGTTTCGCAGTTCAATATAATTTTGCCACCATCGTCTGTTCAACTTATTCGGCAATATTTT